GAGAGAGAGAAAGTTAGAAAATTTAAAACAGGCTAGGGAACCTGGGCAACAGGACACCACTTGACAAGGAGGACCAGTGTGCATATTGTAAAGAAAAAGGACACTTGGCAAATGACTGTCCCAAGAAGACAAGGTATCGAAGGTCCTAGCCCTAAGAAAGGATGAAATTAAAGGGAGGCGGGGTTTGGACCCCCTCCCCGAGCCCAAGGTAATTCATGGACTACCCGAAGAATAGTGGACCTTGGCGTGGGCCGGGTACCCCACTCGTTCGAGGTTACATCCCACCAGCCAACTGCTTTTTGCCTTTGAATGGAAGGACCCTGATACGTGCAGAACTGGGCAGCTCATCTGGATCAGACTGTCCCAAGGGTTTAAAATTCCCCAATGATGGCCAGGCAAGTAAGAGAATTTCTGGGGACATCTGGGTTTTGCAGGCTGACTAAGGAAAAAAAAAAAATTCTCCTGGACCCCAGAGCATCAGGAGACATTTGATGCCATTAAAAAGGCCCAGCTGAAAGCACCTGCTCTAAACCTTTTGATGTAACTAACTTTTTACCCCTTATGTGGACAAATGTAAGGGGGTCGGTCGCCTGGGGAGTTTTGACCAAATCCCTAGGGCCGTGGAACAGACCAGTTGCTTATCTGCCAAAGAAGCTTGATCCTGTAGCCAGGGCAGGGCCTGGCTGTCTAAAAGCTATCGCTGCTGACAAGTTGACTTTGGGGCATAAAGCAACTATAATAGCCCCCATGCATTGGAGAGCATTGTCCGGCAGCCTCCGACTGATGATGACCAACACCTGCGTGACTCACCACCAAAACCTGATTCTCACTGAGAGACTGAGCGCATTGTGTTCGCTCCACCAGCCAGCCTCATCCCGCCACTCTTCTGCCTGAGGAGACTGGTGAACCAGGGACTCATGACTGCCATCAACTGTTGGTTAAAGAGACTGGAGTTTGCAAAGATCTTAAGGACATCCTGCTGGCTGGGGAGATATTGACCAGTTCACTGCTGGGAGCAATTACGTTGTAAAAGGTAAAGAAAGGGCTGGGGCAGTGGTACTGCTAGATGAAGAGAAGTCCATAAACATTAACAGGCAGCAGGTATGCTTTTTCAACTGTTCATGTACATAGGGCTATCTCAACCGTGGTGGCAAAAAAAAAAAAAAAAAAGAAAAAAAAATTACTGAAGAAAATTTTCCGAAGATTTAAAATACCTAAGGTAGTAAAATCAGACAATGGTCCAGTTTTTTTGTTGCCCAAGTAAGTCAGTCACTGGCCAAGATATTGGGGATTGATTAAAATTACATTGTACATACAAACCCCAAAACTCAGGTAGAAAGTATAAATAAAACCATTGAGGAGACCTTCACTAAACTGACCGCGGAGACTGGCGTTAATGATTGGATAGCTCTCCTACCCTTTGTGCTTTTCAGGGTTAGAAACACCCCTGGACCATTTGGGCTGAACCCCTATAAATGGCTCTATGGGGGGCCCTCCACTGGTGGAAATTGCCTCTGTACATAGTGCTGATGTGCTGTTCTCTTAAGCCTCTGTTTGCTAGGCTTAAGGTGCTCGAGTGGGTGAGACAGTGAGCATGGAAGCAACTCTGAGAGACCTACGCGGTGGGAGACTTGAAAGTTTCACATCACTTCCAAGTTGGAGATCCAGATTACATTAGATGTCACCACACAGAAACCTTGAGACTCGGTGAAAAGGCTCACTTTGCGGCTGGTCCAGAATATGTCCTCCTCCTCTGGACCCACCCCCACGCCACCCCAGGTTATGGGACCCAGGGACAGCCTCTTATACAATATTTAGGCACGTTCTTCCTTTATCCACATCCATATTGACCTGTCCTGAGCTGGGGTTTGCAGATCTGTTATTCACTATAGGGCTGATGGATGGTATGGTAGTTACATGCCCACAATTCCAGGATGTATGTGTGAGGGTGGGGAGGGGGGGATGCAGGAGGAACTGAGTCCAAAGTAGTTATTTTCAGTTTCTTAATGATTTAGAGGCCCAGCCTGGCCTGCATGAGATCCTGCCTCCGAAAATGAAAAGAAATAAAAAGAAAACAAAAAGGTCTTGCTGTGTTCCCAGGCTAGCATCAGATGCCTAGAGTCTCCTGTCTCAGCCTCAGGAGTTGCATGAGTTACATGTCCAGCTGCAATTTGCATTCCTGAGGACAGAGCCCCTTCATTCAGCTGAGTTGTCGTGGTCAGAAGAATGACTGAGGCAAAAAAGCATACATCTCTTGTGAGTAGTCTCAGTGTCTACAGAGACACCAGAGTTAAGAGCCAGGGCTCTGGGCAAAGACAACACAGTGGCAAAGGTGATTTCTACTGCAGCATGGTGCTTTGGGAACAACCTAGTATGGGTACTGCTTATTAGATTCTGTGTTATTGAGGAGTCCAATGAGACTCCAGTGGCCAGTAGTGTGTGGTGATAGGCCTGCTTGGAGTTCTCTGTCTCTTACAGTAACAAGCATAACACACACACACACACACACACACACACACACACACACACACACAGACACAGAGTTTTCAGTTTACAATAAAACTGGATGGAAAGTACCAAGAGTTCTATGTACCTTCTGTCTCCACCTAGACAGAACTTCCCCCACAGTCAACATCCTGCCCCACAGTGTCACATGAACACATTATTACCACAGAAGTCTGTTAACTTCTGACATCAGACATGTTTTAGACAGTAGGGTATGTTTTTGACAGACACATACTCACATGCATTGAGCCTAACAGTATCTTACAGAAGCTTCCCTGACCTCTAAGTCCTCTGTGTTCAGTATAATTAATCTTTTTTTGTCTAATGCCTATCAGCCAGTGATCTTTTCCTGTCACCTACTTGTAGTTTTGCCATTCATAATGTCATGTGGCTGTTATCATACACTAGACATCCTTTTTAGCAGAGTCCACTTGTGACTTTTCTGTCTCTCTGGACTGTTTGCACTAAACTCATTTTTTCTTGTGAGGTAGATGGTAGTTGATACCTCAATGCAAAGGCAAGCAGCAATAGAAGCTAGGGTCGTTGCATTGACATCACGTGGGGATGATACAATCCTGAGGCAAGAAAGTAGAGGGCATCTAGGTCGGAGACCTTGTTGAGAAGCAAAGCAGAGAACTTACGAGACTGTGGAGTTTTTTCATTGTTGAGGTAGGGTAATAGGGACTATTTACTATTCAAAAAATAAAGCACTGCTGGGCAGAAGGGACCCAAGGAGCTGACTCCAGTTAGTTAGAGAGCTGTTGCAATAGCCCAGGCTAGATGGGATCTAGCCTGGGCTGCTGTACTGGCCCTCCCACCCCCACCCCATGGGGGGTGTAGTAGAGACATTGTGAGGGTAGACTAGCTCAGACTTGTTAAGGATTAAATATTGTAAAAAGCAACGGGGGGGGGGAGGAAAAGGGGGGTTTAAATTGTGACTTCAGGCTGATTAACCAGCATAGCAAAAATTGCTATGGCAAGGGGAAGGTGAGAGTGTTCACATGTAAACATGTCTACCCTAGGACACGTTCCAGCATTCTATACCGAATCATTTCATTGCAAAGAGGAATGCACTTTGCATTGGTCATACCTATTAAGCTGGAAGCTTCACCCTGGCCCCTGGCATCGGTACACCCAAAGAGTATGGAATGTTAGGGTGGAGGTTCCACCCAAGCTCCCCTCCCCCAATCCCCGCTTCGTCTCACAAAGCCCACAAAATGATGGGCCCTCCCCCAGAGATGCTCAAGACCACTCCCACAGGTATTTTAACTGTCCCCCCAGAAAATAGACAGGTTTCCCAGTCTTTTTTTCCCACCGTCTACTCTCGGGGGGGGGGGGCGGGAAGGCCATCTGGTAGCATTGAATCCATTAAACGAGGGTATTTGGATTCTGTGTTCGCGGTGAGGCTTATCAGGGTGTAGAAACTTTTCAATACCCACTACCAGGTCATCTTCTGTATCGCATTTAAAGCATTTAAATGTATACCTCAAAGCACATCTTCCAGGATTCACCTCAGCACTAATCCAAGTTGTTTCTATTTTCAGTTTGATAGAAAATTTACATGCAAGGTGAAATGTACCAATCTTTTCATACGTTTGCTGGGTTGTGAGGATGCATGTACCTATCCACATCCTAACTGAGAGGTCAATAGTTGTAACCATGCCCGCTGACAGAGACGGGAATCCAGATCTGAGGTCTTCACTGGAAGTGTGAATGCGAGGATCATAACACACGTTTATTTAATTGATGAGGCTGGATGGAAATACCTAAGGGAATAGCGGGAAAAGAAAGGGTCCGTGTCCCCGGAAGCTGGCGTTGAGGTCGGTCGGCAGGACACGCTAGCCAAGCTCAGAGTCCTAGAAAGCTAGGAGGCTGTGAACCATGTGGACCGCGGAGGTGACCAGACTGGCTAACGCTGGGGTCGCAGAGAGGGAAAGGGAGCAGAGCGAGATCAGTTGGCAGGGGTGGGGACTGGGGATGGGGCGCTGGGAGAGGAGCCGGAGAGGGACGAAGGAGGTGGGGTGGGCGGGGCGAGAGCCTGGAGGAAGGCGCGGTCAGGGCCTGGCAGGGGGGCCAAGCGGGTAGAGTAGCGGCGGGCTAGGGCGGGGCGACAGGGCCAAGTGTAGGGGACGGGGCGTGGCCAATCGGAGGGGGCGGGGCCTGGCGTAGGGAGCGTCCCGAGCACCAGCGTGAGGAATGGAGGAAGAGGGAGGGGGCGGGCCTGAGGAGGAGCCGCGGGGTCCACCGAATGGGAGGTCTGGACCGACCGTAGGGGCGGAGCCTGCAGAGAGCAAGCGGGCGGAGCCGAGGACGGGAGCGGGAGAGTCCAGGGGAGGAGGAGCGGGCGGAGCGGGGGGCAGGGGCGGGAGGAGTCGGGGGAAGGAGCGGGCGGCCAGAGGAGGAGGAGCGGGCGAAGCCGCCGCACGGCCGGCGGCGGCGGAGGAGGGGGTGTGCGCGGGTCACATGGTCGGGGCGCCCTCCCCGTCAGCTGCCGTGCCCGCCGCCCGCCGAGCGCTGCCACGGGGAGCCGCCGCCGCCGAGCGCTTCTGCCGGGTGGCCCGCAGGAGCCGCCCGCGCCCGGTGCTCATGAGGCGGGCCCGCGAGCCCCACCGCCTGCAGCCCCGGGCGGCGCGGTGAGGGCCGCACCCCGCCGAGCGCCATGGAACTGAACGCGGGTAAGAGCGGGAGGGAGGCGCGGGTCGCAGGGTCGCGTGCCTGGGCGGCCGTGTCTCCCGTGAGGCCGCCGGGATCCCGAGCCTGGGATCCCTGCACGCCGGCCGCCCCCCTCACATGGCCCTGCCGCGCGGGCCACGTGCACGGTGTGTTTACGTTCGGCAACGCGGGCGCCGGTTGGCTGCGCGGGCGCGTGACGCGGCATTACATAATGCGCGCTGGGCGGCGGCGGGCGGGGACACGTGAGGCCGCGCGGTGACCCACATTCCCCGGGGCTGCAGGGACACGTGGGGGCGGCGCCGCCGGGGAGCCCACAGCCTGCGTGAGGCTCCGCCCCCGGGGCCTCCGCCGTGACGTGGCCGCGGTCCCGGGTCTCCCGCTGTTGCCCGCTGCGGAGTCGGCCGCGCATGCGCACCCGCCGCGAGCCCGGGCGTTCGTCCTCGCCGCAGTGCGCGCTGCAGCCCGCGCGTCCCGAGGTGACCCCGGCAGGGCTGACCTTGCCGGGCAGGGAGTGCGTGGGTCATTCCCGGGCAGAGGCCTGCGGGGGCCCCGCAGTACCCTCCGGATGGATAGGGTGTACTGAGCATCCTTCCTCCTGGAGGACATAGCCCAGAAGCCCCCCTCGAGCTTGCAGAGGAGGGCCTTTTCTGCATGCGACTCGTTGTGTTCCAGGGCAGTGGTGATCCTGGGGTTTCAGAATCTTACAAAACCTTTATTTGTATTAAAAACATTTTATCCTCGCTCAGGAGGCTGAGGCAGGAGACCGCAGAAAGTTGCAGCCATGAGCTACAGTGTGAGATCCTAACAAATTCCAAAAGAGGAAAACCCTCCTTAATTCCCCCAGGACCGACTTGTCCTGAACCCACAAAAGATTGTACGTTTCTTGCAGCATGGTTACAAAATAGTAGCACATTCCCCGCTTCGTTTTAGTCTACCTCAGTGGTGGCCCTTACACCTGAAGCAAATGAAATTTTTGTTTGAATTTTTTGAGTTCTCTGCACCTTTTAAAAATCATGTCTGTTGTAACAAATGTTTTACGAAGTTTTAGACCAACGATAAAAATAGTTTTGATTGTCTAAGTTTCATCTTTCATGGGGTGAACATTCTTTTTTCTTTTTTCTTTTTCACTAGTAATTTAGAGATGGGTAGACACAGCTTTTTCTAACCCTGCCCTACATGTGAATTCTTCAGGTTCTAATTCATGACGTGGTTGGGTCAGGTGCATTAGAAGTTTCACTGGTTTGGGTCTTTTGGTGTTACAAATTGTGAGCATTTTCCGTGGTGGCTGTTGACAGCCGCCCCATCCCATTTACAGTTTTCATTTATATAGTGATTTTCTAATCCGTTTAATCCCTGTTGCCCCCTGGGGTGTAGCTCCCAGAAGTGGATAGACTGCCTTGGAAGAGGTTTGGCATTTCCCAAGTTTCAAGTTAGGCTTTTTTGCTTTGGACCCTGCCGCAAATGAATTGTTTGCAGCCCTTTTATGCACGCGCTACAAGCTCGTACATGTGTACACACACACACACACACACACACACACACACACACACACACACTGATACACACAAGCACACACCTATTTCTCTTTGGCATATTGCTTTGCTGACTCATAATAACCTTGGGGTCAGCTAGGACCTTTTCATGGGAAGTATTTTGAAGTTAGATTTTATTCCTTGTTCAGAAATTGCCTGTTCTGAAATCTAGGAATTTGTACTTTACAGTCACCACAACATAAGGTACTGTGTTAAAGGGTTGCAGTTATTAGGAAGTTTGAGAACCACTGACTTATGGAATCTTGAAGTAGAAGGATCTGTAGTGAGGAGCTTTAAGGAGATATGTATTGATCCACTCAGTTTGTAGAAGAATAGGGTTGTGGCTGAGAAAAGGGTCAGGTGCCTCTGTCCAAGTTCCTGATGTCAGCATCTCTCCCTCCTTCTCTCCCTCTCCCTTCCTTCCTTCTCCCTTCCTCTCTGCCCCTCTCTCCTCTCCTTCTCTCCCTCTCTCCCTGTTCCTTCCTCTCCTTCCTGTCCCTCTCTCTCCCTCTCTCCTTGTCCCTCCCTCCCCCCTTACTTTCCAGACACCAGATTACACCTTGGCTTTCTTCTAGTGCTGTACATAGAACCCAAAATACTGCTAGTTTTACATGTGAAGACCTCATTTTTGTAATCTTATTTCAAAATCCTTCCCAGCCACATGGTTTAGCATTCTTTCATATGACTTGGCCTGTGACCTCTGCCCTGTTCACTGCTCATGTGGTCCTCAGCATTCAGCCCTTTCTGTGCACTATTGCTCACAGCTCTGTACTTCATCTTTAGAGCTCTCAGTTGGGTCTACCCGGCCTTCCTATGAGAGAGGCATCACTAAGTCCTTTCTGCTATAAGAAAGTAATCATCCTTGGTGGTAAAATGTTCAGTTCTAAGGCATAAAACAGGAAAGTATTGCTGTGACTTGGCGGCAAGCCTTCTTTCCAGGAGGGGTAAGCCCAGGAAGGAAGAAAGCCTACTTCAGCCTGCAGGAGGGCGTTGACTCCTGGGTAAGCCCTGACTGGGAACCTGGCCCAGCTCCACTCCCCTTCAGCTAAAAATAGAGAGGACTGCTTGCTGCCTGAGTTAATTTTAGCTCAAGGCTCTAAGATGTGCATTCTGCTTGTTTCTGGAAGTGTTGGGATTTGCTAGATCAGGGATTTTACATTTCTTGCTTTATCATCAGAGCCTACGTGCACAAAAACATGTATATATAATGATCCCTTTTATGAACACTTTCATTTTAGTCTTGTAGTTACTGGCAGATATTTCTGTTTTATGTGATGACTCAGGGTTAGTGAGAAAGAAACTTGCTTGCTTAGGTCTTCTTAGTGATCTTGTACACTCATTGCATACATAGCTCAGTGACTTTTGTATTAGGTCTGCTGCTTACTACATCTGTCTCACTCAGTCTTTCTCACTCCAGCTTCCTCATTTGCAACATGAGTTAATGGAGGTTGGAAGGCTGAAATGTGACCAGGAGATTGTTCATTTCATTTGATGGCTTTAGTACTGTTTCTTAACTAAGAGTTTCAGTTTCCTTTCTTTACATGACCCTGGAACCCTAACCTTCTCGGAAGTTTACATTTAACCACTGAGTTGCTAATGGTGAGCTGGGTAGATTGGTGGGTAGAGGAGATGAAGACAAGAAAATTGGTTTTGAAGGTCTGACTGGAAGAAGGCTGCTGCTTTTAGATGGGTCCCAGTGATTTCAAGGTGTAGAATACAAACATTTGAATCCCCTAAAGAGTGGAGTTAGATATGAGCTGGGTTGATAGCAGTTCAGAAATTTTCCTTGTGTTTTATTTTGGAGCTTTTACAAAGGAATTTTTAATATCATCATGGCCCAGGCAGTGCTTTTGGCTACTTTTAAAGCAAACTGCATTAGCTCAGATTTCTAAAAAGTTTATTTAGTGTGTGTGGTGTGTGCAGTTGTGCAGATTCCTGGAAGTTTGTTTATATAATGTGGTGTATGCACATGTGCAGAGGTCAGAGGAGAATGCTGGATTTTCTTCATTGCTGTCTACCCAATTCCCTTGAGACACTCTTTCTCTGAGCCTTGAGCTCGACATCCCTTGTCTCTCACAAAGGTGCTGTCGTACCCCCTTCCCCCATACTCCTCATTGGCCTGTCTGGATGGCTAACAGCCCTCAGTGATTTTCTTGTCTTGAACCCTTCCTCCCAGTCCTAGGGTCACAGTTGTACAAAACCATGGCTGACTTTCTATGTGGATGCTTGAGATCTGATTGCAGATCCTTGTGCTGGCACAGCAAGAGCTCTTGGCCGCTGAGGTGTACCTCCTTAGCCTGCCTGACCCTCATCCCCATTAAGGACCTAGGTTGTTCTGAGACAAGATCTTACCGTATAGCTCAGGCTGGCCTTGAATGTGAATCTTCCTGCCTTGACTTCCTGACTTTGGATATTATAGGCTAAATATATATTTCCAAACAGAGATACTCAGAAGATCTTGTGAACATAAATGACCTACAGTGTTGGTCCTAGGAAGGTCATCTCAAGAAAGAGCCTAGTTTTTATCCTCTTCAGGTAGTAGGTGTGTGTTACAAGCACTTTCCCCACCAGCCTGGTCCCACAGCCGCATCAGCCCTGAAATAACACAGAGACTCTGTTATAAAGCTGTTGGCCAATGACTAGAGCTTCTTATTGGCTAGCTATTTCTTAAATATTAACTCATTTCTATCAACCTAAGTGTTTCCACATGGTCTTATCTTACCAGAGAGAGGGTCCGGACCTCTTCTCTCACGTCCTACATCTTGACCCCTCTCTACTACATCTCCCAGAATCCTCCTTGTCTCCTAATCCCACCTATCTTGCCTTCTTATTTGCCAACAGTGCTTTATTCATTAACCAATAAGAGAAACATCTCCCATCAGGTGTGCACTGAGTGTCTTAAGGCTATTATTTGTTACAGATGCAGAACTGTGAAATACTGCACTGATAAAATGTTTTTCTTGGTATCCTGTTCTGAGCAGAGAGACTCCTGTAAACTGGGAGCAATTTGCTAACCCTGGGATTTATCGTGTACTCTTGAGATCTCTTAAGCATTTTAAACACAGATGTGTTTAGAGATTTTCTCCACAGATGATGTTCTCCAGACAGAAATAGGCTTGCAGGTTCTCATTGAGATCACAGGGCATTTAAAATAATTGGGCAGTTGTGTTAAGTAGATACTAACATTTATAACTGACCAGTTTATTGTTCTGTTTTGTTTTTTCTGCTTCTCTTGTTTTGGTTTTCGGGCAAGTACTTGTTATGTGTAACTCAGTATCCTGCTTGGCCTCTTGAGTGCTGGGGTTATAGGCATGTGCCACCATGCCTGGCTTAGTAAGTTACTATTTTTGTCTTTAAAAGTGAACTGGAGATAAGGCTCAGTGGTTAATCGTACTTCCTGCTCTACTTAGAGGGACTAGATTTGGTTCCTAGCACACACATTGGGCTGTTCACAGCTGCCAGTAACTCCAGCTCCAGGGGATCTGATGCCCTCTTCTGGATTCTGTGGGTGCCCACACACACTTGGCATATATTTATGAACACAAACTTAAAAAAAAAAATCTTGTGAAGTGTGTGCAGTTGAATTTGCACATAGTGAGGAGTTCCCCAGCTAAGAAGACACTTGTCCCCTCCCTCTTTTGGGTTGTAGCAGCCCCTGGAGAGCTGTGGTTTTACTTTATTCCTCAGGTTTCCAATCTCGATGTTGTGGACAAGTTTCTGTCCCTACTGGTCCTGCAGCTGTTTAGTCTCAAATAAACACACAGAGGCCTATATTAATTATAAACTGTTTGGCCGATGGCTCAGGCTTTTCTTATTGGCTAGGTTTTTAAATTATTAACCCATTTCTACTGATCTGTCTATTTCTATGTGGTCTTGGCTTACCTGTGATTCCTGCACTCTGGCCCTCTTCCTCCCTCGGCAGCTACATGGTGTCCCCCTTGACTTTGCCTACTACCTTTCTCTATCCTTGTTTGGATTTCCTGCCTAGCTAAATCCTGCCTGTCTATTGGCTGAAACAGCTTTATTGATCAACCAATAAGAGAAATACATTAAGGTGTGTGTGATTGGTACTTGAGTACACATTGAATAACTGATTTCAACACAATAGACTGAAAGTGGTTTAAATTCTTGTGCCTAGTTTTTTTTTGTTTTTTGTTTTTCTGTTCTGTCTATAAATGATAGTATCTGGATTTGGGAGGGTTATTTGAGCCTCAGCTTTTTTTCCTGTGTGGTTTATTTATTTATATTAAATTATTACTATATTATTGTATATGTATGTGTGTGTCTATGTATATGTGTTGGCATGTGCAGGTACGCAGGTACACATGCATGTGGAAGCTGGAGGTTGGTGTTGGGTGTGTCCCTTCGTTGATTTCTACCTTACTTGGTAAGGCTGGTCCCCTTGCTGAACTATTGGGCTGTTCAGATTCAAAGGGATTCACTCTTTTCTCCCATGCATTGATTACACATTGTGACCACTTGGCATTTGTTTTTAAGAGTTATGTGTGTGTATGTGTGTATGCACACATGTATGCAGGGGGGTCCTTGTGGAGCCCAGAAGGAGGGTGTTGGATTTCCTGGCACTGGAGTTACAGGTGATTGTGACCAGGCTGAAGTGGGTGCTAGGAACTGAACTCAGGTCCTCAGCACCAGCAGAGAAGGTGCTGTTAATGGCTAAGCATCTCTGTAGCCTTTCCTATCTCTTTACCTGGGTGCTGGGGACATGAACTGTTGCTATCATGTGTCACAAGCACTTTGTCTGTGGAACCTTCCTCCACCTCTTATATTTTTAAGCAGCTGATAAATATAGATCCCATATTTACCAAAATTGGGTCAAAGATAGGCCAAAGAGCTGTTATATCTTTAGGAGACTTATTTTTCTATTCTCAGTACTGAGGATTGAACCCTCAGGGCCTCATCCATACTGGCTAGGCAAGTACACTTCCACTGAGCCATATCTTACACTCTTAATTTTCAAGTTAATGAATCCATTGCATTTGACATTCTCCACCTCCTATGTGTATATACATATAGACTGTTGTCAGGAGCCCCATGTCTGATACTTTGGCATCCTGCTTATATTTTATACTGCTTGGAATTTACTAGTCAGTGTGGACTTCACAAAGGTAGAAGTCTATGTAAAAGTATGTATGGCAGTGTTCATTCCTTGTAAAATGTACTGAGAAATACAGCCAAAAAATAGGTGAAAGCAGGCAGACAGTAGGTGACCGTTGTTTCTGCTGTACACTGAGGAACCAGTGAATATTTGATGATTGAAGCAGGAGAAACCACAGTGGACTTTGGCAGAGAAGAGGTGAATTACTTGTTTGGTCTGGGATTTGGGAAAATAATATATTTGGCCTTGAGATTACTCTTGGAGTATTTTATCTCTTTGAGGGAAGAAGTTTAAAATTATACCCTAAGAACATTTTTAAATACTGTCTCATCCTGAGCAGATTATAGCTTTGCAGAGGCCCAGACAAGTTTGCTGAGGGATTGTGGAGGTTACTTCCATGAACTTAACTGTCCTGCTTTGGGCAGGCGGGAGGATGTCTGGTGGGTAAGATTAGCTTCTGCCTTACTATTGTTCTTGTATAGTGTTAACTTCTGCCAGTCTTTTTAATGGCCTGTAACTGTGTTAGAAGAACACTGAGTGGGTCTGGATCCTTAAGAGCTGAACATAGATGAGTGTACAAGTGCAGTGCTGGGTGGGTCCAGGGAGGAGGTGGGCCCTGGCCTCAGTGGGGAGTCCTGTCTTCAGGTGCAGCAGCTGGGAAAGGTTCCCTGCTTTAAGATAAAGACCTTGTCTGCTATTCCAAGTAGAACCCTTGTTCCTGTTAGCCCTTGTCTCAGCTGAGAGCTGGGAGTAAGCACTGGAGTCCCAGGGAGGCTACGACTAGTGCATCTGTGTCTACCGCACTTTGCTGCTTTGAGCCTTGAAGGCACTCAGAGGCTAGGTTTGTGTCTGTTGTGTGCCTATGACAAACAAGCTGTTGAAGACTTTCTCATGGCTAAATCAAAGGGACTAAATGTAGCTTTGAATTTGTGGAAGGAGTAATATGACACAAGAAAATATCTTTTGGTGTGAACAGAAATAATGTCAATCATTTTTTGTTTTTGAAGTTAGTAGCCTTTCTGACATTCAGTGAAATAGTATGTTTACATGAGTAAAAATCAAATACATGTATCATCTTATATCTTAATTGTCTACTTGTACTGCTCTCTAGGAGGTGTGATTGCCTACATCAGTTCCTCCAGCTCTGCCTCCAGCCCTGCCTCTTGTCACAGTGAGGGTTCTGAGAACAGTTTCCAGTCCTCGTCCTCATCCGTTCCATCTTCTCCAAATAGCTCTAACTCTGATGCCAACGGAAATCCCAAGAACAGTGATGTCTCTAGCATCGACAGTGTCTTGAAGAGTGATTGCACAGATTGTCCTGTGAAAACAGGCAAACCTGGTGCTCCTGGCATGACCAAGAGTCACAGCGGTATGACAAGTAAGTCTGTTAGCGTTTTATATTGTAGCCATTCATGCAGATGGGTTTTGTATCTTAGGCTTTTCCTTTGGGTATGACTCTACTTCATCCTTCCTCTGGTAAGCATGGTCAGTGGTTAGGCAAGACATCAGTGATGATTTTAGAAATTTCAGCCAGGGGCTGGCAGTCATTTAGATTTATGTGGCTCAGTTATGTCTCTCCTTTTACCACACACTTGCAGGCACTTTTCTGCTGGACTCCTAGTGTTGAGCCTTGTCTCTGGTTATGGGAAGGGTTTACTTTCATGAAGCCAGAATTGGAAACATTTGGGATTAGGAAACTGCTTACCTGGGTGAGTGTGGGTGGAACAAGGCTAGCAAGACTGGTAGAGAAGGGATGGGGCTTGCCCAACTCTTGCTGTTGAATTGAAGCAGCATAACTCAAAACCCTTGCAACTTTTTTTTTTTTCTATGAAGCTGAGGAAACTCAGGTCTCATGTTAACTAGGCAAACACTCTTCACTGAACTATGCCTTTAGCCTTTTTTACATTTTCTGTATTTTTTTTTAAAGGTTCACTTATTTATTTGCTTTTAAAATTTATGCTTATGTGTGTGAGCCTGAAAGAATATATGTGCATCGTTTGTGTCTGTGTATAGGTGTCCTGGAAGAAGAATGTACGTGCAGTGTGAGAGTGTGTGTGTGTGTGTGTGTGTGTGTGTGTGTGTGTGTAGGTGCCCTTGGAGACCAGAAGGGGGCATCCTACCTGATCAGGTGGGACTGACTTATTGGTAGATGCCATGTGGGTGCTGGGAATTGAACCCTGGCCCTCTTAATTGAAAGTGTACTTAATTATTGAGCCACCTATCAGCCACTTTCCCCTTTCCCCCAGAGACTTTTTTTATTGATCATTTCTCTGAATTCTTTTTGTCTAGGAGAATTGTTTTCTTAGTTCTTGTTGCATGTATGGTATAAGGTAATTACAGATTTACAAAATTTCCATGGATATTTAAAATTATCAAAATGGAAAAAGCCAGCTATCGCTGGGGGTGCAGCTTGGTGCATTTGGCCTAGTGTGGGCCAGGGCCTCTGGCTCAATCCCCAGTACTGGGGGAGGGGAGAGGAAAGAAGACTGGCTTTCCTTTGTTAATTTGATATAGATTTTTTTCTGTGCTACAAAGGTATAAATGTATTGTTTTAAAGCACATGCAAAGTGAATGAGATAAAATATTCAATTGGGGAAAGCCCTTGAGTGATTCTTCCAGCTTTTTATTTCCTGTCTGTTTGTGCCCTAGAATTTAGTGGCATGGTTCTACTGTGTAAAGTCTGTGGGGATGTGGCGTCAGGATTCCACTATGGAGTTCATGCTTGTGAAGGCTGTAAGGTAACGCAAGCTTTTATTTCTTACTACCATCCTAATTCTGGGACTAAAGAAAGTGGGTTAGATTTGTGAATGCCCGTAGTTTATTTAGAAGGGAGGGAGGAATCAGCTCTTTCTCTTCAGCTTTAAGATTCTGATCAAAATGAATTTGCTATCTCAGTTCCAGTGACTCAGGAAGTGGAGCAGCCACAGTTTGGGTTCATTCACTGTCCAATCAGGCACAGGCCTTCGTGGTCAGGAAATAGGGGTTTCACTGCCTTGTCGGGGTAGTTTTTTTTTTTAAATTCTTTTTGTGTTTTTGAGACGATCTCAGGTAGTCTAGAGCTGGTCTGGTCTGGAACTTGCTATGTACAGTAGTGGAGGATGATCTGGTACTTTGAGTGTAGGGCAGTGGAGGATGGCCTGGTACTCGTTGAGTTGGGATGTGGAGGATAGCCTGGTACTTGCTTTGTAGGGAAGTGGAGGATGACCTAATATTTGCTGTGTATAGCAATGGAAGATGACCCAGTGCTTGCGATCCTGCTTCCTGCCAAGGGATGGAATTACAGGGGTGGATTATATGCCTATAAATCAAGATTTGAGTTAGGTCTTAGAATGCCGAAGCAGAATATCGCAGGTGGGGTAAATTTGTAGAGTTAATTTGCCTTAGAATTTTGGAGACTGGGGACTGTATTTGGGAGACCCTTTCTGTTGGAGGATGGAAGACTCTGAATAGGGGCAGATGAGTGATCATGCCTACAAATGTGAGCTTGAGTGTGTACAGGAATGAGCCCACTTAAAGTGTTTGTTTTGGGTAAGGTCTCTATATGTATGTAGCCTTGGAGCTCACCATGTAGACCAGGCTGGCTTCAAACTCAGAGATCTGCCTGCTTCTTCTGGGATTACAGGCATGTACCACCATGCCTGGCTCCCAGCTTACTTTTTATAATGACTCCATTTTTATATTAGGCATTTTAACATTAGCCAGTTGAAGAAAGCAGAACACATGTGATCCCACTCATAAAGTCTCGCCTCTCCAGACTGTGACATTCAATGTTAAGTTTCTAGAATATGATTTCTTGAGGGACATATTTAAACCATATCAGATCTTAGACCTTGTTAGGTACTATGGACTGGGAATAACTGCTAAGTATTTGCCAAATTATAGCGTGCTGAGAAATAATGCTTGAGGCAAGACTATTTCAGACACACAACAAGCAAAGATAAATACTAGCAACAAACGATATAATACAGGTGGAGCCAGATCATCTTGAATTCAAGTGGAATACTCAGGAAAGAGTTGATTTGTAAGTTGATTATTTCTAGTGCTTAACCAGAACCTTAGGTAGCTTCATTCAGTGGCTCTGCCTCCTTACCTACATCTAGGAATGTCTCTTAAATCTACACAACCCTTTTCCTTGTTACTAAGCATTAACAAGGCCAGCATGTATTCTTGCTGTTTTCTTACTGGAGTGGCTTAGAGTAGGAATACAGTTTGGCAGGGTGTGGCAGGGCGAATGAGATAAGGAACATTCATGGTGAAAGAGCAAGTCTGTTTTGGGACAGTTCTGAATGAGTTGAATCTGGGAGCTTTTTAATGACTAATAAGTGTTGTGTAGATGTAGCTCTTTTCTACTGCTTTAAAGAATTGTATAAATTCTCTACATGTTTTTAAAGAAAATGTGAAGTATTGTTAAATTAATTTCATGTCACTTTTCAGCTAGAAAGTAAAACCATGATATGAATGAAATGTATTATATATTCTTGTTTTGCTTGCATGTATGTCTATACACCACTTGTGTGCCTCGTGCCTATGGAGGCTAGAAGAGGGTGTTAGATTCTTTGGAGCATGCATTACAAATGGTTATGAACTTCCATGTGGGTATTAATACTCTGGAAGAGCAGTCGGTGCTCGTAACTACTGAGCCATCTCTCCAGCACCGCATTATATAAATACAAATAATTGATATCTTGGTGGTGTATGTTTGATGTAACCCAGGATGGCTTAGAACTCAATCCATATCAGCCTCCCAAGTTACTAGGATTACAGGAGTGTACCACTGCATCCTGTTAAATTTTGGGACAGTGCTGGGAATGGAACCCAAGGTCTCACAAAGGCTAGACTGCTGTTTACCACTGAGCTACCTCCTAGCCCTCAGTACCCTCTTGAAAATGCACTAATTTTAGCTTTTGCATTGGTTGAGCCAAGTATATAGTATCACAGCAATAAGGAGCAAAAGTGATATATATATATATATATACATATATATATATATATTAATTAATTATATGGTCAATATTTAACAAAAATATATCATGTGTAGTTAGTTATAATATTAGTGGGAAAGGCAGTTTGAAATGATTTTGTAGTTATATTTCCTCAAGTTTTCTTTCTGGGAACATTGAGCTAGGGGGTCGATGAAGGCCTGGCATAGAGCATGTGCTAATATAGTAGTTTGTGTAGTTAAGATAGCTGTTTATAGTCATCTGCCTAGGAACTCTTTCCCTGGATGATAGCTGGCTCTGGGTGTGTGCTTTGACATGGCTGCTGACCTATGGTCAGGGACATCTAGCATGAGTGTGTAGGCTTTGTTGGTGTCAGTAAGTAATGATCCAGACATGACAAAGTTCTGCTGTTGTTAACATAAGGTTCTGTTCAATTATCAACTCTGTCAGCTTTCTGAAACTTTCTTATGTTTTAGAAGTTTTGAAAGCTAGATATGGTAGTACATGTTTGTTGTCCCAGCACTTGGGAGGTGGAGGTACAAGGATGAGTTCAAGACCATCCCAAGCTGTATAATGGGTCAAGGCCACTCTACACTATATGATACCCATTTCCAAAAAAAAAAAAAAAAGGTTTGAAACTTGCTTTCAAGGTAGAGCATGTGGCTGCAGCTGAAGTCTAGCAGGAGGAATGCTTATTAAAAGGTACTTTGGGCTGGCCCAGTCTTCAGCAGGAAGAAGAATTTTGTTTGGTTGATATATCTTGTACCTGTTGATTGATACCAGTAAGGATTCAGTTAAATTCTGTGCCAAGATTTTCTTTCTTTGACCTGGGCCCAGCTCTGCATACACTGGATAGATGTGCGGCTGTTTTTTACATGGATGGATAAATCTTCTTTTATTTTAGGGTTTCTTTCGGAGGAGCATTCAGCAAAACATCCAATACAAGAAGTGCCTGAAGAACGAGAGTTGCTCTATCATGAGGATGAACAGGAACAGATGTCAGCAGTGTCGCTTTAAGAAGTGTCTGTCGGTGGGAATGTCAAGAGATGGTAAGTTCCCAGGGCAGAGAGTCCTGTAGCTATCAGCAGTTACCAGGCCCTCTTATGGGGAAGTGCAGATTTCAGGAAGCCCAGTGTGACTTCCTGTGGATTAAAACTCACTATGGTAGGATGAGGGCTGCCATCTCAGAGGCAGCTGTTCAAACTGCTCCTTTTGTAACTGGATCTTCATTTTTCCTAAGTGATTTCAGGTTTTTCTTTGGGGGGTGGTTATTTGGTGTAGAACAATGGCTTGGTAATTAAAAGCACTCACTGCTCTTGTAGAGAATCTCAGTTCAGTTCCCGACGTCCATGTGGTAGCTCACAACTGCTTGTAACTCCAGTACCTGGGAACTGATGCCTTATTTTGTCATCTGTGGCATACTTATATACATGTAGCCAAAAATTCATATGCATAAAAATAACATGTGTTATCTACTATATTATACTATGTATTATGTATTACACTATATAGCCCTAGTTGATCTTGAATGCTCTATGCTCTATGTAGACCAGGCTGGCTTTGAACTCATAGAGATCCACCTGCCTTTTCTTCCCTGAGTGCTGGAACTTAGGGGCAGGTACCATCATGCTTGACCTTAATTTTTTTTTTTTTTGACTTTGTCTTGGTCCCTTGGTATTACTAAGGAGCCCATTTCTTATTTATTTAGACTTACTTACTTTATTGTATGGTCTTTATTTATGTTTTGTCTGCAAATATGTATGTATACCATGTGGATACCTAGTGCTCGCTGAGGCCAGAAGGTGGTATTAGAGTCCCTGGAACTGGAGTTACAGATGATTGTAAGCCACTCTGTGGGTGGTGAGAATTGAACACAGGTCCTTTGCAAGAACAAGGAGTGCTCCTAATTGCTGAGCCATCCATCCTTATAGTCCCTTATTTACTTATTTTTATATCAGATTTTGTGTGGGCATCTGTGTGACCTGACATACATGTGAACGTCAGACTACAACTTTTTGGAGTTGGTTCTGTCTGTGTAGAACATCAGCTTGTGTGCAGGTGCTTTGATGATCTACTGAGCCATCTTCTCAGTTATCTTAGTCTTTTTAAAAATATTTTTGAGGTGGGGGGGTCTCACTGTGTAGCCCTGGTTGTCCTGAACCCACAGAGATTGCTCAGAATGCTGGTGTGTCTGTCTTTAGTAAGGTCCTGCTCTACACTGCGGTTCTCATTAGTCATTTCCATGTTTCTTGGATTTTTGCTTAGAAAACAGCCAACAAATACATGTTTTCCTTAGCCTTGTTTTTGGAGAGAAAGCAACAGGAAGTTTTCATTCTTTCCCACTTCTTTTGCTGTGTCAAGATGAACTTTAGAAAAGTTTAGGCCAGGGACATGCAGACATTATTGACTTGTATGACATGAGGCTATGGCTTTCAGAGGCAATTTTGTGTCAGTTTTCATATAAGCAGAGCCTAATAAACAGAGCCTATTAGAGTATAGATGCTGACACTAACTATCTTTCTCCTCAATAGCTGTTCGATTTGGCCGAATTCCTAAGCGTGAGAAACAGAGAATGCTAATTGAAATGCAGAGTGCAATGAAGACCATGATGAACACCCAGTTCAGTGGCCACCTGCAAAATGACACCTTAGCAGAGCGACATGAACAGTCAACTCTACCAGCTCAGGAGCAGCTGCGGCCTAAGACCCAGTTGGAGCAAGAAAACCTCAAAGGCTCTCCTCCTCCCTCTTCTGATTTTGCAAAGGAGGAAGTGATTGGCATGGTGACTAGAGCCCACAAGGATACCTTTTTGTATAATCAAGAGCATCGAGAAAACTCAGCTGAGAGCATGCCACCCCAGAGAGGAGAACGGATTCCCAGGAACGTGGAGCAATATAATTTAAATCATGACCACTGTGGCAATGGGCTTCACAGCCACTTTCCCTGTAGTGAGAGCCAGCAGCATCTCAGTGGACAGTACAAAGGGAGGAACATAATGCATTACCCAAATGGGCATACGATTTGTATTGCAAATGGACACTGTGTGAACTTCTCCAGTGCTTATGCTCAAAGAGTCTGTGATAGAGTTCCATTAGATGGATTTTCTCAGAATGAGAACAAGAATAGCTTCCTGTGCAACACTGGAGGGAGGATGCATCTGGTATAGTGAAATCGATTCTTTGCTCCTCTTGTGTCAAGGAAAGCTTGGAAGGTTTTATTTTGGGTGGGTCGGGGGTGGTATGCTGACTTGGGAGCTAGGTCAGGAAGCCTAAGAGAGATTTCTAGAAGGCTCTTTGTTTGTGTAGTATTTTTAGTGAAATAACACTAATAAGTAATGCTTGTGGATTAACTTAATTTCACATAGCAATAGGTACGGGCTTGTACTTTCATTACTTCAGTAGGGTTAAGATTTGTATAAAACATGATTCAGACAGAATTGATCCTATAATACTTGGAAATCTCGTTGGAAATTTAGGTGTTCTGATCAGTTAGTACTTCATTAGCTTTGGGATCTTTCTCAAAAGGGTTGATCTTTTTAGCTTCTTTGATTTCTATGGAGAGAGGTTTTGCTGCTCTTTGTGGGGACAGTCTTGCTATGTTGCCCAGACTGGCTTTGAGCTCCTGGGTTCAAGTGATCTTGTGGATCATTGGGACATCAGGGTGCGTCACTGGCTATCAGAGAGTTTTTTTAGTTATGATGTAGAAAGAGCTTTGGAGATAGATTTTTTTTTTTTTGAGCTCTTTTATGGTTTGAGAATTTAATCGCCTAATTACTAAAATTTTATAAACTTATCCTGAGATAAGTTAATATTATTCATATCATTCAAATTTGTTACATCAAATTCAACATTATACCCAAAATACATAATACACAGTGTTTATGTTCAGCCAGAATTTCATCAAAATTTCCAGTTTAAACTGTGAGGTCTTTTGATAGTGTCTGTGTCAGCCAACTGCCAAGTAGTTTTACCTTTTGTTTTTTCATCTTAAAAACAGTTGAGTATATCCCAGTCTTCATGTTCATTTCCTTTTTGTCTCTTGCCAGTGTCTGAGTGTGGCTCTGGAAGGCACCTTAGACATGTTTATCTTGTTTCCTTGGGTTCTTCGTCTAGGCACTTGTAGACTCTAAAAATTTCTGGTCATAGCAGCCTCCAGGCTTGAGAATCATCTCATTCCTGGACTCTTATGGGTTTAGTGGAAAGTTAAATAAAGGGCTAGTTTTAATAATAGATTATGTATGGTACATGCTTCATGTCTCTTTAGTGTTCCTACAACTTCTTTGGCTTCCCTTAGTTTCCTGTTTGGAAGGTGTACCTGGTACCCAGTCTGTTTCCTAGCCGAGCAGGTGTGGTTACCATTGTTGATGAGATAAAGGACCAGTGACTCTATGCTGCCTACATTTTAGAATGTGCAGTGTTTTTTGTTTTCTGAAGAACAAATGAGTTCTGTAATAGGAAGTAAGTAGAGGTTTGTGACCTCACTTGTGTTTGGATAAGGCACTGAGTCAGAGAGTCATGTATTGGTCTAAGGAAAGAATTATGGACTGAGATGCAGCCTTAAAAAATAGACTTGGGCTAGGCTCACAATCCAAAATGTAAGGCTTCAGTTCTCAGCACCCACGACTGTCTCTCTAGCCACAAAACACACTCTCAGGTCATTACAACGAGGCCATAATAACCAGGGTGAGAAACAAATGGGAAGATTTGTTCTCAAAATTTGAAAGCACTGCATGCCTGTGGGAGGTGGCAGCAGTGTTTTAACACTCTTTAGAGTACACTAGGCCTGAGGACGATGTTCTTGAAATAGCTGGTTTTAGATAGTGTTTTTCCTAGGCTACCTCTTAAACATCCATAGCTGTTTAGATTAGGTTGCCTTAGGCTATTTAAGGCATAATTGAGACAGGGTCTCCTGTGGTCCAGCCTGACTTGGAACTCAGAGATCTGCCTGCCTTAGCCTCCCTAGGGCTGGGATTAAAGTTATGTGCCATCACACTTAATTTATAGGGCTGGCTGTCCCTCCCATCCATCCATCCATCCATCCATCCATCCATCCATCCATCCATCCATCCATCCAAGGTCTTGTGTAGAGCCTTGACTGGCATGGGACTGTGTAGAGCTGCCTGGAACTCATAGGGATGTGCCTGCTTCTCTAGTACTGGGATTAAAGATGTGAGCCACCACTATTAGCTTTACAAGACTTTTTATTTGCTTTTTCAAGAAAGGTTTCCTCTGTGTAATAGCTCTGTTTTTTCTGGAACTTGCTTTGTAGATCAGGCTGGCCTCAAGCTTACAGAGTTCCACATGCCTCTGCCTCCCAAATGCTGGGATTAAAGGCGCATGTCATTACTGCCTTACAGGAGGCTTTTTAAATGTAAAGGATAGGTAATTTCTATTTAAAAATTTATTACTGTTTTTTGTTTTGAGATAGAATCTCACCGTGTACTTAAGGTTGACCTTAAACTCATTGTGTGTACCAGTTGGCCTTAAAGTCGGAAATCCTCATGCCTTTGCCTCCCTTTTTCTGGGATTAAGTTCATGTGCTGTCGCATTTTTAATTATGTGCATGTGTGTGAAAGTGCTGGAGGAGGTCAGAGACGTTAGAGCCCCTGAAACTGCAGCTAACAGACAGTAATGAGCCTTGGACATGTGTGCTGAGAATTGAACTTGGGTTTTCAGAAGAGCAGTATTTACTTTTTACTGCTAAGCCATCTCTCTAGCCTGAATATGTGATTTGTAAAATGTCCACTTTATTTACCCACCTTACATTGCATAGGACTCGCTGACAAGTATAACTGTATTTGCTGCTGTGAGGATTCTTGTGTTGAGGTGAAATGTATCCATAGGAAGGGTTAATGGAAGACCTTGCTTGAGTTGGGGAGTTACTTCATGTTGAGGTTTCTTATGATTGAGATGACAATTTTGAATTCTTTGTGACCCCTCACAGTTTAAGAGTTTTCCTATTTCCTGCAAATTAGGTTTGTCCTATGAGCAAGTCTCCATATGTGGATCCTCAGAAGTCTGGGCATGAAATCTGGGAAGAATTTTCAATGAGTTTTACACCAGCAGTAAAAGAAGTGGTGGAATTTGCGAAACGCATCCCTGGTTTCCGAGATCTGTCTCAGCATGACCAGGTCAACCTTTTAAAAGCTGGCACTTTTGAGGTAGGTCTTATTCATCCTGACAGTTGATGCAAAGCCCATGTACCTACTCTTTATTTATTTTCTAGATAAATGTTTATAGTTCAGAGTCTCAAACTAACAAAGCAATAATATCCCAGGTCTTCGAGAAGGGATTAGGTACATTGAACTACTTGGGACTGGAAGTGTTCAACTCTAACCAGCATGAGAGTTCTTAGGGTGACAGGGATTTCAGCATGGGTCCTGGCTGTCAAGATTTATGTTCTTTATACCTTCTGACTGTGCTCCAAAGTAATTGGCACCATTATCACAGGCTAGTCACTCCCTTTTGGGTTGTCTGATCAACCTACCTTTGCTTGGGGCATTGTAGCAGAAAGCACAGTGCACCATCAGTTGTAAAAGAGTCATATAGGCAGTATGTCAGACAGTGGGATGTAGGGAATGCTGTTGTCCTGACATAGTCTGCCTGGCTTGAGTAACAGTCACTTGCTGTGATGGCTGTCTGTAAGTGTCGACTCTGGGTCTTGCAGTGGTCTAAGTTGGGTTTGTGTGATGTGTTTCCTTTGACTGCCTTTGGCTTTTTGAAGGTTCTCAGTGATGCTCTATTGAAGTAGGACTTTTCTCAGGGCATTGGCACCTGAAACATACTTTGGACCCTGAAGAGTATCTTGAATGCCTTTGGTCAGGCTCCATTTATTAATAACTCAGTGACATCATTGCTCACTTTATATTTTTATTTCTGAATCTCTGCTTATAGGTTTGAGTGTTCAGAATCTCGCTGTTGCCATTGCTATCTGGACTTTCTTTTGATGGGATATTTATTGCTTTTGTGGAGAGTTCTAGATATAAAGTCAATTTCCATTTTATAAAATTCCTTTTATATGTATGGTGTCTCTTAACTGACTTGAATAGTTGTATCTTAGTTTTTTGAATGAACTTCTCCAAATACATTTGTGTTTTTTGCCTTCCAGGTTCTAATGGTACGATTTGCTTCGTTATTTGATGCAAAGGAGCGGACTGTCACCTTTTTAAGTGGGAAAAAGTACAGTGTGGATGACCTGCACTCAATGGGAGCAGGGGATCTGCTCAGTTCTATGTTTGAGTTCAGTGAGAAGCTGAATGCCCTCCAGCTCAGTGATGAAGAGATGAGTTTGTTCACTGCAGTCGTCCTGGTATCTGCAGGTAAACAGGCTGGCTCAACATCTGGCTATGCCTTTAATTTGTGACTGATAATTCATCCTCCAGTGCCTCAGACTCCACATCCTGTTAGAGAAAAGGCTTTTGTCATGTGAGCCTAGCTCTGCTGCTGCCACTAAAGGTAGCTTTAACTCCTCCATCATTTTATTTATAAATAACATTGGAGATTCAAAGGCCAGGGTGAAGACCAGCTAGCTAACCTCTCCTTGCCGGCATCTCTGAAAGAGAACTTCTTTCTGTTCTGCCAAAGGGGGGAAAAAGCTGCTTCACTCCAATCCCTCCCTACTACTTCTGGTACACCTCTCTATCTGTCTAGATGCCCTCTGATCCTCTATGATGACTCTTGGCCAACTAGTTGCTAACTCAGCCTCCTCACCCAAGGTTAATTTTATTTAATTAATGCAAATGCAAACTCAGGGTTCACAGTGTAGTATGATCAAATACCCCCAATATCCTGTCGAGGAAGGGAAAATACAAGGTGTGAATACCCAGGTAGGGAATAAAATAATGCACTATATTATTTTATCTTGCCAATTAGAAGCAGTTGACATTAGCATCAAATTTAAATACTGAGAAACTCTGGGTTGAAAAGATGACTCAGTAGTTAGGAACAATAGCTGCTCTTCCAGAGGACTAGGGTTTGATTCCTAGGAACCATCTGTAATTACAGGTCCAGAGGATCCAGTGGGTCTTCTGGACTCCTCAGCATCAGGCATGCACAGGGTGCACACACATACTTGCAAGCAAAATACCCATATACATTAGAAAAATAAAAAGGAATCAGAACCACTAAACGTACATGAGTAAATATGCACAATAAGTAGCTATAAAACTTCCTTCCCATTGAGAATTTTTCCTTTTTTTTTTTTTAAATTTGAGTTTCTCTGTTGATCTGGCTGTCCTGGAACTTGCTCACTAGCCCAGGCTAGCCTTGAACTCAGAGCTCTTCCTCTCAATTGCTGGAGGTGCCACCATGTCTGGCTGAGAATTTTTACAGTTTTAAGCTTGTGCTTGTTAATAGTGTGTGTAAAACCATTTTGAATTTGGTAGTGATCATCAAGTAAGAATATATATTGTTAATGTGTCCTCCCTTCATAGTTCTCTGTTCCTTACTTCCCTTTAGATCGGTCTGGAATTGAAAATGTCAACTCAGTGGAAGCTTTGCAAGAAACGCTCATCCGTGCACTAAGGACCTTAATCATGAAAAACCATCCAAATGAGGCTTCCACTTTTACAAAATTACTTCTCAAGTTGCCAGATCTTCGATCTTTAAATAATATGCACTCCGAGGAGCTCTTGGCCTTTAAAGTTCACCCGTAAGGCCTTGGAACGTGAACTGATACAACTGTACATTATATGCTAAGATGCTTATTTATATGTGTATACCATATGTGGAAATAGAAAAGACCATAGACAGTGCCAAGTCCTGGGCTGTCTCTGTAGTCAGCTACCAGTAGCTGTTTGGATGAGAACTCATTGCCATGTTAGACACTGGCCCTCTCCCCCCATAGACCAATCAGCTGTGTTGCATTAGACTGGAGAAGTTACACTGAGTTATAACCACACTGAATGTTAGATTTTTCATCTGCCAAAGCCAAAATACCATTTGATCTCCCTGTGGTATAACTCTTGACACACATTGGAGATACAGGAGGATTTAGACATTAACCCTTTGTGCTGAGAATCCTGCTGTACCACAAGACTGAAATGTGGTAAGGGAGACCGAGAGCCAAGAGGTCTTTACATGTTTGAATTTTGCTTTGCCGGTGTCAAAGTACATTGTCCTAGTAGTTCCTGGGTTGTGGAAAATAATAATTGATAATGTCCCCAATGTCCTGCCTCACAGAGATACTGAAAAATATCCATGAAACATATTTTACCTCTTGGGAGATAGGCACTATGTAAATAAGATGAAGTTTTTATTATAATTGCTCATAATAATATTCTTGTCTTATTTCTAAGTATTTCTTGGAAACTGTTTGACAGTCCACACCAATCTGTTCAGGGTTCCTGCTCAAGAGGGACACCCTACTGATAAACACATATTCCAGGTTTATGGACACCTCAGATAGTATGTGTACATAGTATGTATGTGAATATAATTATATATAAAATCTTACTTCACAATATTTTAAACTGTGAAGAACTTTATCATACAATAAACTTAAACAAGAGGTGTCAAGGACCCAAATTAGGTGCATTTTACCTGCTGCTGCTGATGTATAACCATTGCTTTATGATCTTTAGGTGGTAGAATACTGAAATTATGCTCTATTTTTGTTTAAGCAACATTTAATGTAAAAGTGTGATGGGCAGTCAAATCCAGATTTCAGAAACAAAACAAAACATGTAGTTTAGAGTACATCTTTGGTGTAAAAGTCTGCAGTTGAAGTACTAAGTGTTTCAGAGCATTTTGGCTTTCTCTCTTGTGCTGATAGAGGTGGTATTGCACCTCCTGCAGGTGGATGGAAGGTTTGGATTGTGTGTGGAGGGTGAAGTTTTGTTTTGTTCAAGGAAACTTTGTTACCTTGTTGGCATGCCTGTGCCAAGTCCACGTTTCTTTCCTTTCCTAAATAACACTACAGAGATTTTGTCAAATTAGATATAATATGATTTGAAAAACCTTTTAGTGGGTGACCTACCTAGGCTTAAAGATCATGGTAGGAGAGAGAGCCAAAGTTGAAGATTCCTGAACATTTCCCCCCCCCCCCCAGGAAAGTAGCAATTAATTGTATTTTTGGGGGGGGTTAAAATTACTTTCTGTATAATGTTTGGATTATATGAAATTTTAAAGATATTAAGAATATGCTTTATTATTTTAAGCTTGTTACTTTTGTGACATGTAAGCAGAATGCCTTATTTTGTAGTCTTGTTGCTACAGGATCTGAAATTCTGTGGCACAGTTAAGAGAGCTTGAAAAAGATAAACCCTTGTTGTTAAAGAGGAAAGCTGATGGTGTGTCTGTCATACAGTAGGGACCATAACTGCTGTTTACTTTCAGTGGGTATGGCTTTCATGGGGTATACAACTAGGTTTTGTGAATCCTTTACATGATAGCATTATCCTTTTTATATTTTTTTTTAGAATAAACAAATGCATAGTTTCTTCTATGGAGGATAGAGAGCTTTTTGAAGTAATACTGAAAACCTCAAAGATTATGTTGATCCTTATGCCTTTGACATAAGTGTCTTTATAACATGTATCTTTAAAATAGTTAAGTCTTTGGGAATATGTAACTAGAACTGTTAGTATTGCTTGTAATGCTTTAGTTAGGGTTAGTATATACATGTACACACCTGAATATAAGCATGTAGATTTGCATTTTGTCTCATAAAGTTTTATTTCAATAAATTCTTCCTGTAGTAATGGGAAACAAAATCCATAGTTCATATGCCACATGTAGTATTTCTGTATTTGAAAGTTGCCCATATATGAGCATTCTAATTCTAAATTAAACCAGCAGCCTAATAACAAGCACACTCTTTGATTGAGTTATGGTTAAACAAGTAATAAATGACATCAGACAGATAGGGAACTTCTGAGTCAGTGGGGCACTGTTGATAATTAATATTGTACTGTATGAATTAAGTGATGCTTTAACTCTGACTTTATGGTTCAAGGTTAAAATATGGGCATTATCTCACCAGACTTATGGGCATTATGTTAGCAAGATGAACCATTTTTTTTTTTTTTCTTGTGCTTTTAGTGTGTCTTTACATGATCTGAGAGAGGATTCCAGCTTTCAGAGAGTGATAGCCGAGGGAAAGGAGAGACATTTTGGGATGAAGTTTGTTCTCATGGTGATGGTTTAATTGCAGATTAAAAGATTTGAGTATTTCTGTACAGTAGTGTATAGATTTCATATCTACATTCTAAGAAATTACCATTGTGACTGGGTCAGAAGTGATGTGTTTATGTAAACATTGCAAAGCAAAGCTGTGAGAGGAGCTCAGATATATGTATTCCTGTGCACGAGAGCAAACACCTGTCTCAATTGTTCTTTCTCTTTTTGCAATATAAAGTTTGCTGAATGTATAAGAAAAAGAGTTTATTGATTTGCTTTATCTGTTTTTCCCCAGCCAGTCCCACAGGCTCACCCCTAATGCTGCAACAGAACACCATTTGCAGCCTACCTTCTCCCATCTACAATTCTTGTGGATTTCACAGAACATCCCCTACTCGCCTCCCTCTCCTTGTTGTGTCCCAGCCCCCAGCTCAGGCTGTAGGCTGCTTGCAGATTTTCTTTGCTCTTTGTATTCCCCCAGCAGATCCAACCCTTACCCTATCTGTAGCCTCCCTTCCTCTCTGTTCCTGCTGAGGATCCCACTCTACATCCCATCCTGAACTCGCAGAAATTAAAACCTACATCTGTAATCACCCTAAACTCAGATGCTTAGATGCCAGGGAAAAATAACAAGGACAATAGTCTCTACCAGAACCTGCCATAGCTATCCTGCCACAGGCCCTGAATATTCTATCATAGCTGAAACACAAGAAAAAGACCTGAAAACTACCTATATGAAGGCGTTAGAGGTCGTTAAAGAGGAAATGAATAAATTCTGTAAAGACAGCCAGGAAAACACTCACAAATGGATGTGTTTACAAATGAGTAAACCCTTTAAAGAAAACCAAGAAAAACAAATAAGTTGAAGGGGACAAAACTCTTCAAGATCTGAAAAAGGAAATAGAAGCAATAAAGAAAACAAACTGAGGGAATTCTGGGATGGAGAATTAGGAATTTGAAGAGGAACTTATAGAGGTACACTTTACCAACTGAATTGAAAAATACAAAAATTTATACTTTGCTTAAAGAAAATGTTAAATTTATAACTTTCTGATGCAAATCATCCTGGAAATCTGGGACACCCTGAAAAGACCAAATCTAAGAATATTAGAAACAGAAAAGTGAAGAATCAAAAGCCCAGAAAATATTTTCAACAAAATCATAGAACATTTTCTTAACCTAAAAAAGGAGATGCCCATAAAAGTACAGAAAGCATACAGAACACTGAATAGATTGGACCAGAAAAGAAAGTCTGCCCACATAAAACACCAGATGTACAGAGTGAAGCAAGAATATAAAAAGCTTCAAGTAACCTATTAGAATTACACTTGACTTCTCAGTGGAGACTCTGAAAGCCAGAAGGGCCTGGATAGATGTGCTGCAGACCCTAAGAAACCATAGATAGCAGCCCAGACTTCTATACCCAGAAAACTGTAATTCACCATAGGTGGGGAAAATAAGGTATTCCATGTTAAAGTAAAATTTAAACAACATAAATACAGGAGGTGGTAGAAGGAAAACTCCAACCTAACGAGGTTAACTACATCCATGAAAACACAGTAAGTACTCTTACACTAGCAAAACCAAAAGAATGGAAGCACATACACACCCACCACCACCAAGAAATAACAGAAATCAACAATCATTGGTCATTGGTATCAGTGGTGTCAATTCCCCAATAAAAAGACTCCTACTAACAGAATGAGTGTGAAAATGATCCATCCAAGAAACACACCTCAACACCAAAGATAGACATTACCTCAGGGTAAAGGGTTGGAAACAGATATATCAAGTAGTGGACCTAAAAAGCAAGCTGGTTTAGCTATTTTAATATCTAACAAAATAGACTAACTAATAAGAGATAGGAAAGAACACGCCATACTCATTAAAGGAAAAATCCATCAGAATGCTTAACATCTGTACACCAAACACAAGAGCATCCACTTTTGTGAAAGAAACCACTACAACTTAAATCACACTTTGACCTTTATACACTGATAGTGGGAGACTCCAGTACCCTATTCTCATCCAGACAAAAACAGGGGAATACTGGAGCTAACAGACTAAACCAAATGGGCCTAACATATTTGATCCAAACACAAAAGAATATATCTTCTCAGGACCTCATGGAACTTTGTTCAAAATTGACCCCATACTCAAAGCAAGTCTCAACACACACAAGAAATTTGAAGTAATTTTCTGCACCATGTCAGACTTCCATGGATTAAGGATGGATATCAACAACAGAAACAACAGAAGGCTTACAAACTCATGGGAACTGAATGAAAAACAGGTCAAGATAAATAACATTTTTTCTAGAATTAAAATGAATGCATAGCATATCTAAATTTAGAGGACACAATGAAATTGGTGCTATGAGTAAAGTTCATAGCACCAAGTGCCCACATACAAAAATTGGAGTGATCTCATGCTAGTAACTTAACAACACACCTGAAAGCTCTAGAACAAAAAGAATTAAGCACACTTAAGAGGAGTAGATGGCAAGAAATAATCAAATTAAGGGCTGAAATTCATAAAATAGAGACAATACAGAGAATCAGTGAATCAAAGAGAAGATCAACAAGAGAAGCCCTTATCGAAACTAACTAGAAAAGAATATTCAAATTAATGAAATCAGAAATGAAAAGGGGGACATAACAGACACCAAGGAAATCCAAAGAATCATAAGGGCATACTTTAAAAATGTGTACTCCACCAAATCTAAAAGAAATGGATAATTTTCTCCATAGGTACTATTTACCAAAGTTAAATCAAAATCAGATAAACAATTTTAAATAGACCAATAACCCCTAGAAAAATAGAAGCAGTCATTAAATCTCCCTGCCCCCAACAAAAAAAGCACCCGGGCCAGATGGTTTTACAACAGAAGTCTACCAAACTTAAAGAGCTAATACTAGTACTACTCAAATTATTCTAGAAAATGGAAACAGAATGAACATTGCCCAATTCATTTTGAGGCCACAGTGACCCTGATAGTCAAATTACATAAAGACTCAACAAAGAAAATTACAGACCAGTTTCCTTCATGAGCATAGATGCAAGAATACTCAATAAAATACTTGCAAATTTTATTCAAGATCATCTGCCCTGATCACATAGGCTTCATCCCAGAGATCAAAGGATGGTTCAACATATGAAAACCAGTAAATGTCATCCACCATATTGGCAAACTGAAAGAAAACCACACAATGATTAGATGCAGAAAAGGCCTTTGACAAAACCCAACATCCCTTAATGATAAAAGTCCTGGAGAAGTTAAGGATACAGGGATATATAAAAACTTCAATTCTCTGAAGAAAGAAATGGAAGAAGATATCAGAAGATGGAAAGATCTCTCATACTCATGGATTAGTAGAATTAACAGTAAAAATGGCCTTCCTACCAAAAGCAATCTACAGACTCAATGCAGTTTCCATCCAAATTCCGTTAGAATCCTTTGTAGACCTTGAAAGGACAATTCTCAACTTCGTGTGGAAAAACAAATAAAACCCAATATAGCTAAAACAATCCTGAGCAATAAAAGAACTGCTATAGGTATCACCA